GAAGATTTTGGGGGGGGGGGGGGAGGGCGGCGCACTCTCGCGCTTCTTCGGACTTCACCGATGCTCTGGAAGGACCATCCTTCGCGCCCTGGCCCCACTCGGCCTCTGCTCTCGCCGCTCCGTTTTGAGCTTATTATTATTTTTTTCTGCCGTGGTTCTTAAGTCAAACCTGTTGTTAAGCAGATCACACAGCCGTTATGTGAAGCGTCCTCCTTTGTGGTCGTCCTGTGGAGCAGATCTCTTCGGAATTTGCATCCCGCTCTTCTGTTCGTTCTTCCCCAGGCGGTTTCGTTTACAGCGTTCGTTTCTGATGAGACGGTTGTCATTTGTTGCTCTGGGTTTTTGCACCCCACATTGGTTTCTGTGTCGGTGTGCATGTGGGTGTGGGTGTGGGTGTTTCACACTGCATTCGGGGTCAGCTTCACTGAGGTCTTCAAATTGGAAAATGGGATTTCAAAATCCTAAATGCTTGACCTAGTGTTGAAGGCACCGGGCTGGAAATCAGGAGACTGGGAGTTCTAGTCCTGCCCTAGGCATGAAAGCCAACTGGGTGACTTAGGGCTAATCACTAGGAGATGGTGAGTTCTAGTCCCTCCTTAGGGCTGAAAGCTGGCTGGGTGACTGGACCAATCACTAGGAGACAATGAGTTCTAGTCCCGCCTTAGCCATGAAAGCCAACTGGCTGACTTTGGGCCACTCACCAGGAGATGGGGAGTTCTAATCCCGCCTTAGGCATGCCAACCAATTGGGTGACTTTGAGCCAGTCCCTCTGTTTCAATCTGACCCACCTCACAGGGTTGTTGTTGTGGGGAAAATAGGAAGATTAGATCTGTTAGCTGCCTTGAGCTGTTTATAATAAAATTGGGAAATAAAATAAATAATGCTGCCCCTGATTTTTTTTCTCTACAGGAAACCATGGAGGATATCGATAAGAACGGAGACGGCTTCATTAATTTGGAAGAATATATAGGTGAGTCGTGGCCAGATCCTGCCGTGGCCCCCGGATGTTAAACCCCAGGAAGGGCCACGGGGGCCTTTCATTAGCTCATGCCCCGTGTTCCCCTGGGGGTGTCTCCATTGAACCATATGGAAATGTCCTGGGTTGGCACCCAGCTGAATGATCAAACTGGGTTACCGATCTAGTCCTCGACTTAACAACTGTTCATTTAGTGACTGAAGTTACAACGGCGCTGGAAAAAAAAAACAGACCTGGGACCGTTTTTTTCACACTTCACGACCGTTGCAGCGAGCTTCCAACACAGAAAGTCAACGGGGAAGCCAGCTTTGCTTAACAGCTGTGTTACTCATAAGGACCACTGCGGTTCGCTTCGCTGTTGTTGCGCAACAGGTCATAAAATGGGACCCTTAGCAACAGCATTTAGGTTTACAGGCCAGCACCTCCTTTTTCACTCACCGAGTGGTTGAATAACGGCAGCGTTATTCGCATATCGGCCCCCCGACTGGTTTGGCTCCAAAGAAACAGCCGTCTTGCTTAGTGACGGGAATATGGGGCTCCATTTTTGGGGCTGTAAGCCGAGGACCGCCGGTGTTCTGCCGTTCAACAGGCAGGACCCGACAGTTAGAATTGAGACACCCCCTCCCGCCCCCGGGTGTTCCCTCCGCAGGTGACATGTACAGCCATGACGGGAACACGGAGGAACCTGAATGGGTCAAGACGGAACGAGAACAATTTGTGGAGTTCCGGGACAAGAACCACGACGGGAAAATGGACAAGGAAGAGACCAAAGACTGGATCCTGCCCTCTGATTATGACCACGCCGAGGCCGAAGCGCGGCACCTGGTTTACGAGTCGGATAAGGACAAGGTGAGAGGACCTGTTCTGACCTAGACCTTCCCAAGATCATGCAGCCAACTCCTCGTCCCGATAAAACCCCTTTTATTTAGGTTCAAGGGAATTCCTCTCCAGCAAAGTCCCGGCCAACAAGTCTTTCAAGAGATTGCACAACGACAGACCTTTATCAGTCTGGGAGAGTTGCCAGGCCGATAGCTTCCAGACGCCAGGCGGTAGCAGCAATGACTTGGCAAGAAGTCAGGAACAGATCTTGACACTAATTAAACGAACTAATGGTCTCCTGCAAACCCCACTCCCCTTTTTAGCTCCTCTTTATTCCCTCTGGGAGGGGCCATTCCCCGTGCACCTGTGCTTTCACATGTCAACCTTTGTTCCTTAGCTGTTCCTTTCTTCTGGCAGCTCTGTGCATGTGCACACTGGGAACAGGCTCCAGCTGTTCTTCTTCCCCACTGATCTCTGACTCCGAAGGCAGCTGATAACTGTCAGACAGCCCTGGCCCCATCTCTGCCTCCGACGCAGAGCCCTCATCCGAGCCTTCCCCAGACCCTTCGTCTGGCAGCTCTGTGCATGTGCACATCGGGAACAGGCTCCAGCTGTTCTTCTTCCCCACTGATCTCCGACTCTGAAGGTAGCTGATAACTGTCGGAGGGGCCTGGCCCCATCTCTGCCTCCGACGCAGAGCCTTCCCCAGACTCCAGGACTGGCCCAGGTTCCTCCCCAACCTCCTCATTGTCCGAGTCTGCCGCCAGCTCTGCTGGCTGCTGGCGGGCCACAACACCATGAGCTGTATTTGGACCTGCCTTTCTCGCCCAGGGTTTATTCTCACCAGGTCAAATGAGAACAGGAGTGACTCCTTCTGGAAGGCTCCGTGGAAAGAAGGGGAACCAGGCTGCACATCTGCATGCTCCCTCGCCTCCCCATTCCATTAGGATGGGTCATTCTGGGCCTGGTGGGGGGTTCAGGGGCAGCCTTCTGTCTTTGGGGGGGGGTCCTGGGTGCTCTCTGAGATTGGTAGCTTTCTTGCAAGGCCCAAAGTGGCTTTTTCAAAAAGGAGCAACTGGACTTTCCTGCAGGACGTTTCGTGACCCAACTAGGGAACACGATCAGTGCTAGAGGGCGGGATGGTATTGGTGGGGAGGAGGAGGAAGAGAAGGGAGAAGAAGGGGCAGGGGTGGAGGATGAGGATGGGGTGCTCTCTGAGCTTGGCGGTTTTCTTGCAAACGTTTTGTGACCCAACTAGGGAACATCATCAGTGCTGGAATTGAGGGGAGGGGGGGTTGTATAGAGGCGGAGGAGAAGGAAAAATGAGGCAGAGAAGGAAAAGGAAGGAAGAAGGAAGGAGAAGAGGAGGAATGAAGGGGAAGAAAAGAATGAGGAGAAGGAGGAGGAGAACAATGAAAGAGAAGGAATGAAGGGGAGGAAGAAGGAAGGAGAAGAGGAATGAAAGGGAGGAATAGAATGAGGAGGAGTGGAACAATAAAAGAGAAGGAATGAAGGGGAGGAAAAAAGGAAGAAGGGAGGAAAAGAAGGAGGAGGAGGAGTGGAACAGTGAAAGAGAAGGAATGAAGGGGAGGAAGAAGGAAGGAGAAGAGGAGGAATGAAAAGGAAGAAAAGAATGAGGAGGAGGAGTGGAACAATGAAAGAGAAGGAATGAAGGAGAGGAAAAAAGGAAGAAGAAGGAAGGAAAAGAAGGAGGAGGAAGAGTGGAACAATGAAAGAGAAGGAATGAAGGGGAGGAAGAAGGAAGGAGAAGAGGAATGAAAGGGAGGAATAGAAAGGAGGAGTGGAACAATAAAAGAAGGAATGAAGGGGAGGAAAAAAGAAAGAAGGGAGGAAAAGAATGAGGAGGAAGAGTGGAACAATGAAAGAGAAGAAATGAAGGGGAGGAAGAAGGAAGGAAGAAGAGGAGGAAGAAAAAGGAGGCCGAAGGAATGAAGGGGAGGAAAAGAATGGGGAGGAGGAGAGGGAAAAGTTGGAACAATGAAAGAAGGAATGAAGGAGAGGAAGGAAAGGGGGGGGAGAAACAGAAGAGGAAGAAGGAGGGACTCCCTGAGCACGGTGCTTTTTTCTCACAGACGTTTCATCACCCAACTAGGGAACATTATCAGTGCTCAATTGGAAGCAGGGTTTGAAGAGGAGGAGGAGGAGGAAGAACAGGAGGACTGTGGGGATCCTGGGTGTTCTCCGAAGCCGGTTGCTTTTTCCACAGACGTTTCACGACCCAGCTAGCTTACGCCCTCAGGGTCCCTCCCAGTTGTTTCACCTTTGGTTTCCTTCCCTTCCCCAGGACGGCCAGCTCACCCGAGAAGAGATTGTGGACAAGTACGACCTCTTTGTGGGCAGCCAGGCCACGGATTTCGGGGAGGCCTTAGTGCGGCACGACGAATTCTAAACCAAGAAATCATCTTCTTCTTCTTCTCCTTTTTTTTTTAAAAGAAAAGGAAGATTTGGGGGGGGGGGTTGGGGAAAGAAGAAGAGGGTCGTGTTTTTTTTTTTTTACCGTTTCAGGATTAACACAAGAAAAGGCTCCTTATCGGGACTCCGTTTCAGCCGAGAATTTGGCGGACGGGCGGGGGGGGGGGGGGGGGGCGGAGAACACGCCCCCCCCCCCTGGGGTCGCCCACCAATCGCTGCCCCCCCCCCCCCCCACCCCCCCCCCCCCCGATTTCCCTCCCTCCGAGGTGGGAGGTCACTATTTTGAGACCGTCACGTGTTCGGGGTCAAACCCCAAGGTTTTTGCTTTTTTTTTTTTTAATAGATTTGCATGTTCTTTTATGTCTAACAAGTTCAGTTTTATTTTTGTATTCTTTTTATTTTTTGGGGGGGGGTTTCTGTGTGAAAATGAAGCGTTAGGCCTATGGGGGGGGCATGGCTTGTCTCTCCCCCCCACACTTTTTTTTTTAAAAAAAAGGGGGTGTTTTTTTTTTTAAGTCGCAAAGTCAGAAAGCCGGAGAACAAGAACACGGCCGAGAGGAATGGGATCTACACTCCAAAGATACACCCCCCCTTTTTTTTTCATCTTCCACGCAACTCGAAGAGGCTGAGAAAAAAAGGAATTTTGGAATTTTAGCTTCTCTGCCTTCCGGGCATGGAGGTCTCCCCACTTCGAAGGCTCTCTCTCTGTGTGTATGTGTGTGTATATATATATCTCATATATATATATATATATATGAGAGCAAGACAGAATGAGAGCTAGAGAGAGGATGAGGGAGAGAGAATGAGAGTGTGAGAGAAAATGAGCATAAGAGAAAGAGAAAGAATGAGGAGAGAAAATGAGAGAATGAGCGTGAGAGAATGAGAGATCTAGAAAGAATGAGAGGAGAAAGGAAAAATGAGAGAATGAGAGGGGAGAAAGAGAAAATGAGAGAGAGAATGAGAGAGAATATGAGAGAATGAGAGAGATAGAGAGAATGAGAGCCTGAGAGAATGAGAGTGATAGAGAGAATGAGAGGAGAGAAAGAATGAGAGAGAGAATGAGGAAGAGAGAATGAGAGAGAATGAGAAAGATAGAATGAGAGAGAGAATGAGAGAGAATGAGAAAGAAAGAATGAGAGAGAGAATGAGAAAGAGAGAATGAGAGAGAGAATGAGAAAGAGA